CTCATTCTCCTAGTAATTACCTATAATTTTACAAAAAGCATACTTAAATTTATAGCATGTTTTCCCTTTCCTTCACTCCCTTATATATTCCCCAGTTGATATAATCTAGAATTTTACTCCCAAGAATATTTTTAAGTTTTCTTTACAATGAACACTTAAGTAGATTTAGCAATGAATTTCACTGCTCATCATTATCTCTTATGATGATAATCATAATAACTATAGTAGTAGCATACATTTATATAGTGTTTACCATGTGTCAGGCACTTTGTGAAGTAATTGATAATTAATTTATTTAATCCTCACAAAGTTCTGTGAAATAGATACTATTATTATTCCCATTTTTTTGCATACAAACAGAGACAAAGAGATGTTACATAGTTTTCCTAACATCAGACAACTAAATAGATATGTCCAGAACTTTGGCAATGGCTAGAGCCTTCATTCTTTTTTTTTTTTTTTTAAAGATTTTATTTATTTGACAGGGAGAAAGACAGCCAGAGAGGGAACACAAGCAGGGGGAGCGGGAGAGGGAGAAGCAGGCTTCCCGCTGAGCAGGGAGCCCAATGCAGGGCTTAATTCCAGGACCCTGAGATCATGACCTGAGCTGAAGGCAGACGCTTAACGACTGAGCCACCCAGGTGCCCCTAGAGCCTTCATTCTTAATGTCTACATTATGCTGCCTATGCCCTTTTATTTTTTTTTAACTCCTTTCTTTTGTACTAAATATTTTTCCTGATGGATTGATCTTCTAGTTCTTTTAAAACTGATCAGTGGATAATAAACTGAATCATTGAATGTCTGAATATGACTTCTGTGTGACTCAGTATTGAATTTTAGATTCAAAATTCTTTTCCCTCAATACTTTAAGGATATCAGTGTTATCTCTTTGCATTAGTTTTGCCCTTGAGGAATCTCTTATCAAACTAATTTTTAATTCCTTTTCTAGGTAGGCTAATCCAGTCTTTTTTTTCTCTCTCTCTCTCTTTGGAAGCTCAGTTTTCTGAATTTTTCGAACTAAAAATTTCTTGCTATACAAAGTATGTTCCTTGGACAGCAACATTCGTATCACCTAAAAGTTAGAAATGCAGAATCTTGGGCCCCAGCCCAGACTTTTGAAATAGAATCTGCATTTTAATGAGATTCTCATGTAATTCATTTTCATATTAAAGTTTGAAAAGAGCAATCTCAGATAGGTCCTTTTATTTAGTGAAATTTTTCAAACATGTACAAGAGTAGAGAGAATAATAACAAACACCAAATATTCTTAATTTAAACTTAAGAGTCCCTAATCAATCCTAAAGTAAACTACACACATAATGGTATTTCACCCCTATATCCTACAGTATACATTTCTAAAAGGTAACAGCATTTTTCTTATTAAATTAACAACAATTCCTTAATATCATTAGGCAAGTCTTTTTAAAATTTGTTCTATTCAATATTTGGTGTGATGTTTCAATCAGAGGATCATGTATTTTTTTCAGGACTTGATTATATCTTTTACCTCTCTGACGTTCTCTTCTATTATGTCCTTTTGTAACTCCCTCCTCCATACCTATTAAGTTTTCTTTATACTTTCTATGTGCTTACCTTTTTTGCAGTATACACTGAAAAATTTTCTCTGCACAGTTCTCTAGCTTATTAAATCACTCTTCAGCTGTGTTTATATCACCCATTTTTTTTAATTTGGGGAATTTATTGTTAATTTCTAGGAACTATCATTAAAGTTTTATGGATAGATGCAGTATACTTTCATGATTCAGAGGATATTTATAGTTATTCTGAAGTCATGTTTTGGTGGCTTTCTTCCTACTACATCTCTTTTCTCAGGTATACATTTTTTCCACTTAATGAACATGGTGTCTCAAAGTGATAGACTTCCCTAAATATTTTGTGATACTTTAATGGGGGCTCATTTTTGTATTTTAATCTTCCCATTAACTTGTGATTACTTTATCTATTGGCTTTTGTCTTCTTGCAGGGAATAGTCCAATCATGTAACCAAGCAAGGTATCTTAGAAGCTCAGGCTGAGATTAAGATTCTTATGCAAGTAATGTTTTGAGGGAGTTCTCCAGTAGAAACCTCTGAATGAAGGAAGCTAGATAGACTATGGGGAAGATCAGTGGTTCCCAAACTTTGCTATACATTAAAATCACCTGGGGAGCTTTTAAAAAATCCCAACAATCAGAAGAGTAATGTCAGCAAGATGGCAGAATAGGAAGCCCCAGCTCTCCTTCTTGCACAACACTGACTTAAATACATAAGAACCAGATTACCTTTGTGAGAACTCCAGAAACCACTTGAGAGGTTATAGCATCCCATCCAAGTACAAGGCCAAGAAGAGACACATTGGAGCAGTTAGAATATTTCATTGCATTTACCCACCATACCTCACCCCCTCCCTGCCCAGCAAGGGGCAACCAGGAGAAAACTCCCAACTCCTGTCTTCTCCATCAGGAGGGAAAGAAAAAAGCTGGAGTATGTGTCCTACATTTTGGCTTTTTGACCCAAGGGACTGGTTTCTGTCTCACCTGACTCAGAATATTGGCAGAAAAAAAGAGTGGCACACTTTGGATACCTGAGAACAAAAGATCTCAAATAAATATTTGCACACCCATGTTTATTGGAACATTATTTGCAATAGCCAAGAAGTGGAAGCAGGCCACATTGACAGATGAATGGATGAAGAAAATGTGGTATATACATAGAATATTATTCACCTGTAAAAAAAGAAAGAAAGAAAGAAAGAAAGAAAGAAAGAAAGAAAGAAAGAAAGAAAGAAAGAAAGAAAGAAAGAAAGAAAAGAAAGAAAGAAAGAAAAGAAAGAAAGAGAAAGAAAGAAAGAAAGAAAGAAAGAAAGAAAGAAAGAAAGAAAGAAAGAAAGAAAGAAAGAAAAAGAAAGAAAGAAATCCTGTCACATTCTACAACATAGATGGACCTGGAGGACATTATACTGGGATAAATAAGCCAGAACAAATACTGTATGATTCCATTGATATATCTAAAGTAGTCAAAACCATAGTAATAGAATGTAGAATGATGGTTGTCAGGGTCTCGGGTGAGGGAGAAAGGGGAGTTGTTTGATGGATATAGAGTTTTAGTTTTGTAAGACAAAAAAGTTCTAGAGATCTGTTATACAACAATCGGAATATAGTTAATACTACTGAACTGTGCACTTAAAAATGATTAAGAGGGTAAATTGTTTATTATGTATTCCTTGCCACAATTTAAAAAAATTGTTTAAAATCCTAGTACTCAGGTCAAATTCCATCTTAGATCAGTATGTCTTAGAATGGGAGACAAACATCAGTATTTTGAAATGTCCCCAAGTACAAGGTGTCAGCCTCTAAGATCACTCCCAGTGATCTCTGCTTTCTGATATTTATACCTTTGTGTAATACCCTCTCCTTGAATATGGGCTGGACTTACTGACTTGCTTCTAATGAACAAAATACAGTAGAAATGATAGAATGTCATGAGACATTCTACGTCATGAGAAGACCATGGCTTCTATCTTGTGTGTTCTCTCTTGCATTTTCTTTGATTACTTGTCTTGAGGGAATCCAGCTGCCATATTATGAGTGGCCCTGTTGAGAAACCTCCAGGGCAAAATATTGAAAGTCTGCCAACAGCCATGTGAGTAAAGCAGATCTTCTACCACCTTGTGAGAAACCTTGATTCAGAGGCACACAGCTAAGCCATACCCAGATTCCTGACCCACAAAAATTGTATGATAGTAAGTGTTTGTTGTTTTAAGATGCTAAAATTGGGAGTAATTTGTTAAGCAGCTACCGATAAATAATATACCAGGTGATTCCAATGTGCCATAAAGGTCAGAAACAATCGAACTAGGCAAATAAGTATTTTCAGGGAATTAGGCTCTTCTTGAGTCTACAGGGAAATCTTGAGAAAAAACTATATCAGAGAGATTGTACAGCCAGAGAGGCAAAGGTGCTAAACTATCAGACCCTCTCTATCAGTCAGTAATTCACAGGGGCTGTCTGGAAGGAGGAGTAGGAAAACCTCCTTAGCTTCCCCAAGTAAGCCCTTCTCAGCAGGTTAAGACTCTAGAAAGCTGCAGGTGTCAGGGGTTAGCAGCCAACAAGCAGCATCTGGGGGATGTGTGCGCTCGCCTGGTAAACGGGTTCTGGTGGGGCACCAAGATCATCTCTACACAAGGTATATACTTCAGCCTTTATAAAGTGAACGTGGAAGAGATGAGGTAAGGTACTGAATGGTATATACCAACAAAAGAGATTCTGAGCAGGAGTGTCCTCATTCCTTGCGGGTGTCATCATCCACCCCAGGAATTTTCTCAGTTGCCTTTGTAACTTAGGTGCCCGCACTCATTGTTCCTTCTTTGGGGCAGACATCCTTTCCTTACTGACTTGTTCAAGAGTTAGAAATGGGGTGGAGAGTACATCTGTCTGGCCATTCTTACAGTGGTACTCCAAAGAGTCACCCATTGGATTTCCTCAGATTTCCCCTGCTCCCAGCATCTGCCATTTCTGGGCTTGGAGCATTTTTAGAAGTATACCATATCTTTTGTAGCAATGTTTACTCACACACACTTGGCTTATGATTTCCTTCTTCAATCTTAAACTCTTATCTTCCTGGGATATACTTGGTTTCTTATCCATTAAGGATTCTCCTTTTTTTTTTTTTTTTCTAGTTAGGTTATGGGTTTTCGTATTATTTTTATATCTTCATCTCAAAGGATTTAGGAATGAAGGGAGAGAGAGAAAAAAAAAAAAAAAAGGAATGAAGGGAGAGGCAATTTGTGCCCAAACCAACATCTTGAATGAAATCTCTATAAACTTTCAGCCAGCAGAAAAAATGTGTGAAAAATTTTACCCATTAAATGATATTGACTCAGCATTTTTACTTTTGAAGTTATTGTAAATCTGAAAAGGTTAATGTATTTGTTGTAAAATTTATAAAACACTACTTTGTTAAAAGGATGTTTGAAAATTGGTTTTCAAAGTCTTTCTAATAGTTTTGTACTAGGTGCTGTCTCTCCTGCTGTGGTTGTCCCTTCCATGCTCCTTTTGCAAGAACATGGATATGGCATTAATAAAGGCATCCCAACCTTACTGATAGCTGCTAGCAGTTTGGATGACATCATAGCAATCACTGGATTCAATACATGCTTGAGCATAGTCTTCTCCTCAGGTAAACAAAATACAACAACTGCCATCTCATTGCAGCTTTTTCCGGTTCTTTAAACAAGGTTTCTGGCTTTGCTTCTTTATTAACATTTATTTATTTTGACATGTAACATCTTTTTATTTTTCATAGAAAGCTCATTCTAGAGCAGGGAAGAAGTTTCAATGGATTGAGAAACCACTAACACACATGATTTTATTTTCATAACCATATATTGTAATTAATCTGATAACCCATATTATTATCATTTTTCTGTTTATGTTGGTTTGGAATTTTATCACAGTTTTCAATAGAAAATTTTAAGCAGCAATATTATTAAGTACTGCTATTTAATATATATTTCTAAAATGTGCCTTTTTGGCCATGATTATAAATAACTGGTTGCTCTGTTACTAAGACAACCTAAATATATAGAGTATGAACAACTGTGTGCCTTTTTGGTAGCGGTGGGACAAGATCTGCAGCAATTCTGAATCCCAAGGTAATATTTGGGCTTAAATGTCCAAGAAATTGTGAAAGTAAATCTTTCCACGTGTTGAAATGCTTTAATTATCTGCAATGTTTGAAATTCCATCTTCTGTATTATTGAAGCACCAAAATATTTAAGTTGAAAAGTAATATGTATAGTTTCTCTTAAAATCATAAGACATAAATAAGAAGGAAAAAAAGGAAAATATAAAAAGAAACTCTGCAACATACCCTCAGGAATAATAACTGACTCTTGATAAAAATCCAGACTTTCTCTTTCTCCCTCTCTCCCTCTCCCCCATTCTCTCTGACTTCCCTCCCAGTATTCTTATAAAATTATAAGAATCGGCCATACTTTCTTGTAACCTGAGTTGTTTTGTACTTAACTGTATATCACCAACATGTTTCTTTTCAGTAAATGTATTTCCATGACATTTTTAATGGTTGTATAGTTTTCTGTTGGCTGTATCATACTTATGTAACCTGTTGAAAACTGAAGTTGACTCCAATATTCACTATTAAAATAATGCTTGGTTGAACACCTTAGAGCCAAATAGTTGTACCTAATCTTAATATTTTCATAGTCTCAAAAGTGAAATTATTGAGATAAAAGTATAAAAGTTATAAGCTTTTTGAGATATATTACCACAATGTCATGTCCTACCAGGGTGTAAAAGCTTGCCACTTTCTCTTCACCTTCTTCAAAACTTGGTATTATTAGTCTTTTATATATTTGTTAATTTGATAGGTGAAAGGTGAGGCCTCTTAAGATGAAGTACTTTGAATACTAGTGATATTTTAAAATGTTCATGTTTAATGACCATTGGCATCCTGTTTTATAAATTGCTTTTCTTGAAATCCTTTGCTTTTATCTTATATGTGTGTTCATCTTTTGTTCTTTTGTCAAGATTCTGCATAAAGTTAGGAATGATAACCTTTTGTTTTATGTCCATTTATAATTTTTCTTTTAACTTTATCTTTTTTCACAATTCAGATTTTTCAAATTTTTTATTGTCAAATCTGACAATCTTTTCCTTCATGACTAGTATCAGTAATTCTTTTAAAAAATATTTTTTGTGTTCCTCTTCCATTGTGCCAACAATTGTGCCAAACACTGAGGATAAACAGTGAACGACAATACTAGCTTTTATTGAGTAATTGCTTGGTACTTGCTCCAAGTTCCATAGCTATTTCCACTCATTTAATAGTCACACATCAGTACTATACTCATTTTACAGAATAGGAAACCAAGGAACAGAGGTTAAGTAAGTTGCTCAAAGTCACAGATCCAAAAAGTAAGGAAGCCAAGATGCAATCTGGCAATCTGACCCCAGACCCACACTTTTAAGTACTATTCTGTACTATTAACACAGCAGAGAAGACCATGAGGCTCATGTTCTCAAGGAATTTGTATTAAACAAATAATTACAAAATGTGATGAATAGTACATAGTATAAGGTACTATGGAACATGCTATAGGAGATCAAACCTAATTTGTGGAGGACAGAAAAAGTAAAAAAAAAAAACAAAAGCAGCTACATGCTTAGAAAATCCTCTTGACTCATGACTATGTAAATGGTCACTTAAAATGTTAAGGACTTTTGGGGTGTCTGGGTGGCTTAGTCGGTTAAGTGTCTGCCTTCAGCTCAAGTCATGATCCCAGAGTCCTGGGATTGAGGCCCTCTCCCCGCCGCTCAGCCGGGAGTCTGCTTCTCCCTCTGCCCTTCCCCCTCTCCTGCTCTCTCTCTCTCTCAAATAAATAAAATATTTTTTTTTAAATGTTAAGGACTTTCAAGGTTTTATTTTTTACATTAGCTCTTCAATACATCTACATTTTGGAATATGGTAGATACGGAGACCTAACCCTATCTTCTGGGTCAGTTGGCCTTTTTGTCATTATATAATATCCTTCTTTATCTCTTGTGACTTAATTGTATTTGACTTAAATTCTATTTTGTCTGATATAAGTATGACCACCCTGCTGTCTTTTGGTTATCATTTGCATGGAATATCTTTTTCTATCCCTATATTTATAAAAATGTAAAGTGATCATTTCAATCACATATAAAAATTCTAATCCTTTACATCTCGCCCTCTTCACTTTGTTATCCATGTCACAAATTATATCTTTTTATGTTGTATATCTACTAATACAGTCTTTTTTAAAAGATTTTATTTATTTATTTGTCAGAGAGAGAGCACAAAGCAGGGGGAGCAGCAGGCAGAGGGAGAGGGAGAAGCAGACTCCCCGCTGAGCCGGGAGCCCAATGTGGGACTCGATCCCAGGATCCTGGGATCATGACCTGAGCCGAAGGCAGATGTTTATGACTGAGTCACCCAGGCATCCCCATTAATACAGTCTTATAGTTATTTTTATGTCTTTAACTTAAATTCTATAATAGAATTGAAAGTGATTTACTCACCACCATTACAGTATTAGAGGATTCTGAATTCATCTATGTATTTACCTTTACCAAAGATTTATATTTTTGTGCTTTTGTGTTGCTAACATCCTTTTACTTCTACTTGAAGGATTCCCTTTAACACTTCTTGTAAGGCAGGTGCAGTAGTAATGAACTCCTTCAGCTTTTGTTTATCTGGGTAAATCTTAATTTTTCCTTCATTCTGAAAGATAATCTTGTAGAATAGTATTCTTCGTTGGCAGTTTTTTGCCTTTCAACTTTGAATATACCATCACACCCCCTTCTGGTCTGTAAGGTTTCTGCTCTGAAATCCTCTGATAATTTTATAGGAGCTTTCTTGTACATGATGAATCATTTTTCTCTTGCTGCAACTTCTTAATTGGTTTGTGGAGTCCCATTAAGGCTTTTGGACTCTATATTGTTGTTAAGTTAATGCCTCTTTGAGGGATCAAGGTTCTGGGGCTTCCCATTCTACCATCTTGCTGTTGTCATCCTGCATTTCTGTTATTTTTTCATGGAAAAACATTTCTAAAATATATATATTTACACATCTCATTGAGCTAAAATACCCATAGCATAACAACTTTTTTTGTGACATAGATCTTTTTTAAAAATTTTTACTCTAACCTACAGATATGGGCACATAAAATATGTTGGAAACTCAATTGACTGCTGACTCAAATATTCCTAGTGTTGATCCTGGAGTAAATCTTTTTTTTTCTGTTGTTGTTAAATTTTTCTTTTTATGTTTAAGTCATTTCTTTCTTTGTATAACAGTATATCAGAGAAGAAACATCACCAGACTTGTGAGGTGCCAGAGGTGCTCCTTTGTCCAAACTCTGTCCATTCTTCCACCTCACCTGGTCTTTTAGGTTGTGTTTATAAGGGAACACACAGTGGCTTATTACTTCCTTGTTTTCTGGCTATATTTTCAATGAACTTTTCTGAATTGTGTGTATTTATTAAATTACTTGAGAGTACATACTTAATTTATCAAATAGATCATTATGTTTTCAAGTATATGAATATCAAAGGCCCATTTTTGCATATTTGTTCTAGAAGATATGTGCTTTTCTCTATGAACCACCTAGATTTGATCTTCTGATATGTTAAGTATGTGAAAATATTACTCTATGAGATGTTTCCCTTATTGTGTGCCCTTACAGGTGGTATACTTAATAATGTCCTTGCGTCTTTTCGGGATGTACTTATTGGCGCGCTGGCAGGAGCTGTTTTGGGAATTTTTGTTCAGTATTTTCCAAGTGGAGATCAGGTAAATAAAAAATTACTATTTTTTAGAAGTGTAGTATTAGACATTTCTTTCAAAAATTTGAACTTCTGGAAGATCCATGAACTATTAAATGTAATATTTAATTCTCTTTCCCCAAAATAGCCCCTAGTGCTACTCTCTGCTTAAAATGGAGCACAGTTGTGATTGATACAGGCCAATGGCTTTGACTGAAGTCTCTGCTTCCTGATTTGGCAAATAAGAGTATCAGAAAAGTGTACTTAACCCAGAGTACCTTCTCCATTCCACCCCAGCCCTTTATTCATTACATTTCCTATTGACCACTGACAATTTTCCCTAATCTTTTTTCCCTCAAATTTTCCCTTGAAACATTTTTGGGGAAATAGATTGCCATTTATCTCTGAATATTTTCTGACTTCAATTTACTCCCACTGCCTTTGACTAAGGCAACACTATTAAACTCAACCCTTTCCTTCCCTAAAGGATATGCCATTACTCTTGAATTTCTGTGACTTGCATCTTAATTTCTCTGTAACAGCTGTCTCAGCTAAAGAGATAGTCAAAACTTTAATTTTTAAGAATTCATTGGATATGGGGTGCCTGGGTAGCTCAGTCGTTGAGCGTCTGCCTTTGGCTTGGGTCATGATCTCAGGGTCCTGGGATCGAGCCCTACATTGGGCTCCCTGCTCAGCGGGAAGCCTGCTTCTCCCTCTCCCACTCCCCCTGCTTGTGTTCCTGCTCTCGCTATCTCTGTCTCTATCAAATAAATAAATAAAATCTTAAAAAAAAAACTCATTAGATATGTTATAGGAACTATAGTTTATATGGGTCTCTTTCCTTCCTTCTTCACTTATAGCTAAAGTACTATAGCCATTTTACTGACATTAGTATCAGAGATGTGGCAGAATATAAAACTTAATAATTGCAAAATTTTTCACTCGGTACCAAGTTTGCTAAAATTTTTGGTGAGGAAGTAAGTAAAAATTTTAGACACTATTTAATATAACATATAGAGACATGATACCAAAGGGTCAATAATAAGTGGTAGAAGATATAAATATTGTATTATATATTAAATGTAAATTAATTTCCAAATATCTATCTAATTCTAGACAAAACTGCCACTGAAGAGAGCTTTCCTTATTTTGAGTATGTGTGTTACTGCTGTCTTGGGAAGCCATCATATTGGTTTACATGCAGCTGGAGGATTATGCACATTAGCATTAACTTTTGTTGCAGGGATAAATTGGTCCACAGAAAAGGTGAATATTGTTAATACATAATTTTTGTAAGATAAAATAACTATTTTTTTTACATCTATAATAAACATTTAGGAAATCTCTTTGTTCTAGTTGGAAGATGTTCCAGAAATTTGTGTCTTCAAGGATGTATATAAATCAATCAAGGAAATAAAATATTTAGGAAAAGGACCTGGAAATACACTAAAATGAAATCAGAATTGAGCTAACACATCAGGCTGCTTTCTTTTTCCAAAGTTTTATGCAATATGATTATAGAACTTTTATTGATTTATTTTATTCATTAAAATTTGAGTTGTACAGTTAATCCATGAAAAATGCTCATAAAAGATTAGAACAATACAGAAGGCCCACATATAGAACAAAATGTAAAAGACTCCTTTTCCTCTACCACTCCCAATATCAGACCCCCCCTTCCCAGAATCAGTCATCTCCTTTAATCAGTTCTCCATTTGTAGACATTTAGGTTCTTTCCATTTTTGTTATTATAGTGCTGCTATGAGCAATCCTGTTCATGTGTCTTTTTACAAATGTACAAGTGCTTCTGTAAAATAGATTCCTAGAAATGTAATTGCTGAATTTAGAAATGGAATGTTTCTATTTTGAGGGATACTGCAAAATTATCCCTTCAAAGATTTTAAACAATCTGATGGGTAAGAAATGATACAACATTATTATTCTTTGTTTACATTTCTCTGATTAGTAGTGCAATAAATTTCTCTTCAAATATTCTTAACTACCTATTCATATTCTTTGCCCATTTTTTAATTGATTGATTTGCTTTTTTGTTCCCAATTTATAGTTTCTCAATATGTTAGTGCTACCAATCCTTTGTTATGTATATATTGCATATAATTTTTGCTTATTTTCAACTTTGTTTATGATGTCTTTTATATTGCAGTAAAACTACCTATAGTTAAAGCTGACCATTATTCTTTTTTTGTTTTGGATTCTGTATGTTGTTTAAGAAGGATATCTTCACCCAAGATTATAAGATTGTAATCATGTCTTCTATAGTATCATCTAATACTTTGGTAGTTTCTGTTTGTTTTATTTTTGCATTTAGTTCTTTAATTCATCTGGAATTTATTTTTGTAAATGCTGTGAGATAAGGATATGTGTGTGTGTTCATAAACATGTATATATAAGTTCATTGCTGGAATCTATTTAATCCTACCTATTTAGTCCTGGGCCAATACCACTCTATTTTAAATTACTGTAGTTTTATGTCTCAAAACCTAATGTGGAAGATTCCCTCTCATTGTACTTATTTTTAAAGTATTTCTTGACTATCCCTGCACAAATTCTTTCTTAGATAAATTTTAAAGTCAGCTTGAGAATTTCCCAATCCAAAAATTATGTTAGTGTTTTGTTTAGTATTCCAATAAAATCATAATTGTAAAAGAAATTAAATGGTCAATAATAAATTATAATTAAATAAAATGAAAACTACTAAAATTCTTTTTTATATATGATAAAAGAAATCAAACAGTAAAGAATATATTTTAAAAATTAAAAGTAACAGGGGCACCTGGGTGTCTCAGTCGGTTAAGTGTCTGCCTTCAGCTCAGGTCATGATCTCAGGGTCCTGGGATGGAGCCCGGGTCTGGCTCCCTGCTCAGCAGGGAGGGGGAGTCTCTTCTCTCTCTCCCTCTGTACCCACCTCTGCCCCCACCAGCTCATGCTCTCTCTCTCTCTCTCTCAAATGAATAAATAAAATCTTTATTAAAAAAATTTAAAGTAACAAATAGGATGTGTCACCATGAAGAAAGAGTAATACTGTTTTTTCTTTTTTTCCTTTTTTAAACCTTACTTTTATAAATCAGAAAACCCAGTCATAAGGGAAATAGTTACAAACATAGTTTATACCCCAAAGGATATCACAGTTTTATGTGACTTCTTTAAAAAAAGATAAGCCCAGACTGAAACTAAAATCTCTTCATCCAAATTCCTTGAGAAGAGCCAGAGTTCTATTATATCAATAGGGGACTTTGTTGTAACCACTTAATTGGGGAAGTAGCCCTGGGAGAGGTCCTTTCTCAAAAAGGAAAGCCAGGCAAGCAACCAAGTTAGAAATCTATATATGTTTTTGGTTTGGTTTCAAGGAAAAAATAACACTGAAGTTTTCAACATGGGCCCTTTGGAAGCAGGCCTGACAGATTACTGACATTTTTTGCCTGTAGCTTAGGACATATCTAGATTCACTTTCATGGGATTGGATTCCAAGATAATTGTCAGTGGAGGTCTTCTCAACTCCCTTTTAAGAGCTGAAATGGTGGCATAATATTGAGTATGTGCTCATGAGGCATGATGTAGTTCTAGTTCTGTCTCTGTTCAATTACCTTATTAAAAAAAGCTAGAATTCTTACTGAACCATTAAAACATGTCTGAAACTACAAAGACCTTATTTGTTCCATGACAAAATTATGAAATAATATTGTTATTGAGGGGCACCTGAGTGGCTCAGTCGTTAAGTGTCTGCCTTCGGCTCAGGTCATGATCCCAGGGTCCTGGAATCAAGCCCCACACTGGGCTCCCTGCTCAGTGGAAAGCCTGCTTCTCCCTCTCCCACTCCCCCTGCTTGCGTTCCTTCTCTTGCTGTGTCTCTCTCTGTCAAATAAATAAAAAAAACTTTAAAAAAAATAATATTTTTATTGAATACCTTTGTAGAATTTTTTTTCTGGTTTCAAGGAGCATTTATTTCTATTTTACTTCTTTTTTTAAAGTTTTTAATTTAATTCCAGTTAGTTAACATGCAATTGTTATATTTGTTTCAGGTGTACAATAAAGTGTTCCAACACTTCCATACACTATCCAGTTATCATCACAGCAAGTGCACTCCCTAATCCCCTTCACTTATTTCACCCTTCCCCCCACCTACTTCCCCTCTTGTAACCATCAGTTTGTTCTCCATAATTAAGAACCTATTTCTTGGTTTCTCTCTCTCTGTTTTTTCCTCTTTGCTCATTTGTTTCTTAAATTCCACATATGAGTGAAATCGTATGGTATTTGTCCTTCTTTGATTTATTTCACTTAGCATTATACTCTCTGACCCTATCTATGTTGTTGCAAATCACAAGATTTCATTCTTTTTATGGTTGAATAATATTCCATTGTGCATATGTGTGTGTGTGTGTGTGTGTGTATACACATACATGTTCTTCATCCATTCATCAATCAATGGACACTTGGGCTGCTTCCATGTTTTGGCTATTGTAAATAATTCTGCTATAAGATTTGATGATTTTTTTAACCAAATTCTACTTAAGTGTTTGAGTAAAAGAACCTAATCAGTTTTTTTTTCTGTTCTATCAGAACCTACTCAATTTTTAAGCTTTAACATTTCTTCTACAAATAAAATATCTTAAGTTCATTAAAGGTTGAGAGACTTTAATTTTTAAAGTGCAATTATTTTTAAGTGTCACAACAACTAAACACAATAACTAAAAATATATTATTCTTTTCTACAGGTTAAAGTCCAAAGAATTATTAAAACTACATGGTATATTTTTCAACCCCTTCTTTTTGGCTTGGTTGGATCAGAAGTATCTGTTGCATCTCTTCAATCAAATGCTATTGGTAAAGGGCGCCTGGGTGGCTCAGTCGTTAAGCGGCTGCCTTCAGCTCAGGTCATGATCCCAGGGTCCTGGGATCGAGTCCCACATCGGGCTCCCTGCTCAGCGGGAAGCCTGCTTCTCCCTCTCCCACTCCCCCTGCTTGTGTTCCTGCTCTCGCTGTCTCTCTCTCTGTCAAATAAATAAATAAAATCTTTTTTAAAAAATGCTATTGGTAAGAATAATTACAGGCACAAAAAATATAAGATTTGAAAATATTTAAGAAAACTATGAATAATTTTTATTTTATTTACAATATGTCTTGAATGCTATAAGAACCTTCTTCAGAAACTCATGTTGATACAGTTAGTAACATACATTTGCTCTTCTGTTACCCTGTATGCCCTTTGTTACCAAAGACAGCTCTGAATGCCTTCCCTGAGTGATCTGAGGAAAATGTGGATTGGAATTCTTTTCTGACAGAAAATATTACATGCCATCAGCACCTTTTGAATACTTTCATTTATAGTGAAAGTTCAAAGTCTATTAGCTCAGAATTAAATAAATGTAATCTATCTTATCTTTCATGGTACCTCCACCATCAGATAATCTCTTGTACTTTTTCTAGGTATAAAGAACCACTTCTTCCCAAATATTTTGTTGTTTATGTTTGTTTTTATCTGTTGTAGGCATTTGTGTTGCTACTATGAGTCTGGCACTATTGGTTCGAATTTCTTTTACATTTCTATTGATGTGTTTTGCTGGCTTTAGTTTTAAGGAGAAAATATTTATTGCTTTATCATGGATGCCCAAAGCTACAGTCCAGGTAAGAACATATTAAGTCATTTTAATAATTTTTAATGTTGATGATTTTTTAAAATTCCAAATGAATGTTACTTTAATTACAAAATGTAGGCTACTAGCCTTACTTTTAAAATACTTGATCATAACTACTCATTGAAAACAATGTAATCTTTTAAAATCTCAGTTTTAAAAGCAATTCTTCTGAAGTTAAAAAGTGTACTTTTAATGACAAATACTTCCTAAACTTCTGAAACTTTTTTTTCTGTTGTCCCAAAATATAAAATAAGAATATATCTGGACACTGGAATGTTTACATTTTGCTGAATATTATAGGGATAAATGTAATGATTTTATAGTAGAGACACATTAATTCTTTTAAAAATATATCTTTCCTACCCTTGCCACCCACTCCAACATACATGAATGCATGTGTATTATTTTTAATTATGCATTTAATTTATATGATTTTAATTAATGACTAAATCTCCTCACCAGACTATCTGGGAAAGACAGGAACAGTGTCTGCTTTCTTTCATTATTCCTCCCCTAGTACTTAATACAGTGCCTGGCACGCAGGAAGTACACAGTTAGTAAGCATTGCATTTCTACAAGAATGAATGATGAATGAATGAATGAATGAATGAATGGGGAGACCTTGTGGTTTTGCCCTCTGATTCAACGATATTCTGCTCCTACAAAGAGGTATTACTACTTATTGTTAGACTTTTTAACCTGGCAGCATAATGTCTTGATTTCCAGAGATTCTTTTTTCCATTGTTATTCCAAAACAGAAGTTTGTGAGTTCTTGTGCAACAAAATTCTCTATGTGTCAGGATTAAAAAAGCAGGTCCATGGGACCAGCCTGGGTGTTTTGCCTATAACATTAGGCAAGTTACTTCGTAATCTCTCATGTCCACTTTGTAGATTCCAAACCTCTTGTCAGTTTTACTGGACACACTGCCTCCCAAGTAGGAAGAATAAGGAGAAGATAAGCAACAAAATCCTAGAGAACCATTAGAAACCTTAGTATTTTGTCTTTTCTTATTACAGCCAAGAACCTTATAGTCCATGGTAAAGGTAAATAAGCAAAACCCTGCTTCAGCTAGAACTCCTGAAGTTCTGAGAGTAATGTGAGCACTCAAAAAAGATATTTAAACAGGAGAAAGCTGAGATGATAAAAATACGAAATCGGCCCCAAAATGAGTGCACAATGATTTGTCACTATTTCACTTTTCATCCAGATATATTTGCTAGGGAGAACATAGAATTGATGAGTAATTCATGAAAATTCCTCAGCACTTTAAGTCTTGTCTCTTTTCTGATGGCTTACTACTAGGTTTTGTTTGTTTTAACAGGGCCATTAACTTTTATCATGTATTAACTATTTAATATTTTTCTTTATGTCTCATCTTTTTACCCCCTACATGCAGGCTGTATTAGGTCCTCTGGCTCTAGAAACAGCAAGAAGCAGCGCACCCCACTTGGAACCATATTCAAAAGATGTGATGACAGTAGCATTTTTAGCCATCTTGATTACAGCTCCAAATGGAGCTCTAATTATTGGCATACTGGGACCCAAAGTACTTACACGCCATGATCCAAACAAAGTCGATGTAGAATTGACAAAATTAGAACTTCATTAAAAAGTTTATTTGCCATCACCTGCCTGCTTCTTTTAATAAATTATCTTACATGAGAGAAAAATTAAAACACACAAATACATGGAGATTGTACATAGAACCAAGGATTTAATAAATATGTGATTTCATTACAGAGCTTTCCTATGATTTTTTATTCCAAGGTTAATTTAATAAAATAGTATTTATGTATTTTAAGAATAAAGTAAATCTGTAAGTACTCTAGGAAAGTTTAAATAATCCATCAGGCTGAATCTGCTGTCATATTACAAACTCGGTGTAATAAAAAATTAAATGAACCCAATGACAGAAAGGTAAGATAGTCTAAGCCTCCAGACAGGAGAAGTAGAACCCACCATCAGTTTAGTAATTCGGTTAAAAAGATCACCAGAAAGGAAAAAAATGCCAGGAATAAGTGGGTCAACAAAATGGATTTCAAATTCTGTTTTTAGTGACTATCTGAATGAATGGTATGTTAAATAAAAGAACCAAAATTAGACTTATTTACTTCTGCAGTACCCTTAAAATGACAAGTTTAATAGCTTTTAAATGAAACATTATGTGTAGTATTTATTTGTAGATATAAAATTAAATCACAAATGGAAATAAACCATGATTTTTCAATGAGTATAAAATAAAGAATTAAAGTCAGCCTGCAGAAATGAAAGATGAATAGACTTGTCCATGTGAGCTTTTCTTTTCCTTAGTAATACAGAATCTCCTTTCAATTCTGACTGATGAAATCTGCTATGCTTATATAGAACCAATCACAAGCAAAATGCAGTTTCCGTTTATGTCAAGATTATTTTAGGAGCGCCTGGGTGGCTCAGTCCTTAAGCGTCTGCCTTCGGCTCAGGTCATGATCCCAGGGGCCTGGGATCGAGTCGCACATCAGGTTCCCTGCTCGGCGTGAAGCCTTCTTCTCCCTCTCCCACTCCCCCTGCTTGTGTTCCCTCTCGCTGTGTCTCTCTCTGTCAAATAAATAAATAAAATCTTTAAAAAAAAAGATTATTTTTAAAGTTGGAAGGGTCATGTAAAAGCTTCTCAAATAGCCTTAGTGGATGGCTTCTTAGAAATCATTCAGACTTCTTTGGCAAAAGCCAAATGCAGGAACTAAACATTACTTGGTTTCTCTCTTCCCTCTTCTATGTAAGTAAAATACTAAAATAGCACAGAATGTGAACTTTACACATAAATTTGCAAAGTGAAACAACTATAAGGCAACCAAAACTATATATATACATATATATATGTATATTCCTGTTAAGACTGGGACCTTCCACAAAATAGAACAGTAAAACTGTCAAAAGTTCATACACACCTGGATAACTCTGGAGGAGATAAAATAGCTGCTGTTCTAGTAGCATTTTCTTCTACATTTTTACAACTCAGCATAGATCTTATGCCTCATTTTCAACTATTTTAATTCTAGTACTAAAATTCTAAAAATTTAAAGTTCTAAAACACTCCAGTGTTTTGACTAATATTTAAATCATGAAGGTAAATCATTTTTACTAAGTAAATGAGAATATATTTACATTCACAAGATAGGATTTTACATTTACAAGAGAATTAGATTTTAAAATAGAAAGTTGATCTTAATAAAAGATAAAGGTACAGCAAATCATTTTCAGAATGAGGAACTATGTTTTTTTAATTAAGGGGGAAATTGTCATTTTTTTGTGATTTATAGATTGTTTCTTAAGTATTAAATTTAATATTTATATGTTCATAAGACCAAAACACTCTACTTTTTAAAAGTAGTGTTGCAGGCATTCGAGTAATTTGAATTTTAAATTTTCAATATAAAAACTTTTATAAAAATTACCTTTATTAGGAGCATGTGCACCCCAATGTTCATAGCAGCAATGTCCACAATAGTCAAACTGTGGAAGGAGCTGAGATGCCCTTCAACAGATGAATGGATAAAGAAGATGTGGTCCATATATACAATGGAATATTACTCAGCCATCAGAAAGGATGAATACCCACCATTTGCATCGACATGGATGGAACTGGAGGGGATTATGCTAAGTGAAGTAAGTCAAGTAGAGAAAGACAATTATCATATGTGGAACATAATAGAGCGGAGGACCACGGGGGAAGGGAGGGAAAACTGAATGGGAAGAAATCAGAGAGGGAGACAAACCATGAGAGACTCTGGAAACTGGGGGTTACAGAAGGGAAGAAGGTCAGGGGATGGGGTAACCAGGTGATGGGTATTAAAGAGGGCACTTGCTGTGATAAGCAGTGGGTGTTCTATGCAACTAATGAATCGTTGAACACTACATCAAGAACTAATGATGTTCTATATGCTGGCTAATTGAACATAATTAAAAAAATTACCTTCATTAATGTCATTTTAAAATTACAACCAGTTAACCATGTGTACAGTATTCAAGTGTTCATAGTATTTAAACAATACAAGAACACTGTTCCTTATAAATTTATCAAGTATGTCTTTGTTTACTCATTAATATTTTGTCACTAAGGAATTTTTATTACAACAAGAATTTTATAATTCAAATTACGTTTCCTTGCTCAGTATTCAATTCTGTTATTTAAAACAAATGACATTCTGAGCTATTCCACAGTAAAGAATTATAAAATTAAAAGAATGCTTTAAATTTTTGTACTTTGCTGAAAACTGTTTTTCCCAGGATTTATAAAACATTAGTTTTTATAGGCTTGTCTCTTTTCTGATGGCCTTGTGTGTGTGTGTGTGTGTGTGTTTAAATTAGGAAGTAGTCTAGACCTAGCATTTGCTCAGTACACAAGGTTCAAAGTTTCTTTTCCTCTTTTGCATCTATTTTATATTTAGCAATTTTCCCCCATAATATGTAAGCTTTTTGGTGTTTAGATATTTTTCTTTGGTGAAGCATGTGTTTCTATTCATGGTCCCTGATCAATTTTAAGCAGTTGGAACTCCAAGGACATTGTTAATTGCTTCCTGGGAAGCCTTTTTAGTTTGGTGGGCTCATAGTACACCAATGCTTCAGCAACCTTAGATCAGAGAGACTGGAGATTCAAGCCTATGGAGAGGTTCTGGATTCTCCAACAACACATTGGCGATTTTTACCAGCAACAGTAGGGTGCATGGCTTGACTAAAAGGAAGCATTCCCCCAAATTTGTTTTGTATTTGAGGAGGAGCAGATGCCAACATGGAAGTAGTTACAGGCTCCTGACCTTGTACATTCACAGCAGGCTGCTGCATGGTAACCTGTGGCTTCACATTAAGACGTTGTTGAGGATTGCAAACTCCTACAGCATATTTATACTGTGGAAGAACACTGACGGCAGGAATAGCTACCACAGCAGCTGCTGCAGTGGTGGACCCACTGTGTTGTGTTAGCAACACACTGTTGACATGACTCGTGAAACCTATAAAGAAACTGGACTCACTATTCAATGGTAGTCTAGGAGCAGCTGGGCAGACAGTACCAGGCATAGTTGGAATGGGACCCTGGACAGCCCAGCAAGGACTTGGTCTTAGTTGCGCCATTTGGTGAGGAGGATAGTATGCAGCGTGGTTCTGAGTCTACAGGATAGCTGCCGGGAAGTAACCTGAAGGACGTGTATCCAGGTACTGTAGTCGTTCCCAGCTGGTGATTACGTTGAATACTAGCTGTTATATCATCACCAGAGCCAGAAGTCCCCTGTATTCCGTCAACTTATGATTTTTTTAAATATGCAGTGTGTTTCAGCCCAGCACAACTGATTTTTTGATTCTCAAATTGTCCCAGATATGGTCCTTGGGTATCCTTCACAATTGATTCTGTACTCTTTAGACATGATGCCATAGTGTTTGAAAGCTTTCTTCCTTTCAGTCATAACAAGCTGTCCCAGATTCAAATGCATTTTCCCTACTCCAGACCGGGAATCAGCTAGTCTCCAAAAGACTGGTATCTTTCCATGAAAATGGGTATGTTAAAACCAAAATCTGAAGGTTAGGAATGCTCACTATGGCTGGAGAATCATTGCATCTAGATCTTGTCAGTAAACATTGCTAAAAAATACAAGTTTTAGAAACCATAAAATACATGTTATAAAATAAAAAGTGTTGTTTTTACTATTACTATTACTGGTGATTTTAGAATATAATTCATAGCACAGATTATATGTAGTCAAAATCCCTTCAGTGCTGATTAATGAGGAGAAAAAGTAAATGTTATATAAAACCATGCAGTTATAGGACACAAATTCTATAAGATAACTAAATATTTTTTTAAAAGTTTCCTAAGTTATCATAGTTTTTAATCACTTAAAAATAAAACTATGGGGCACCTGGGTGGCTCAGTCGTTAAGTGTCTGCCTTTGGCTCAGGTCGTGATCTCAGGGTCCTGGGATCAAGCCCCACATCGGGCTCTCTGCTCAGCAGAGAGCCTGCTTCTCTCTCTCCCACTCCCCCTGCTTGTGTTCCCTCTCTCGCTGTGTCTCTCTCTGTTAAATAAATAAAATCTTAAAAAAAATAAAACTGGAAAACATGACATCGAGTTGCTATTTCTAATTCAAATGTAACATCATAGGGCTTTTACCTTTATCTTTTTTCTCTTACACTGAATATCTTGGTTCCTAATATTATTAATGTGGTATTAGCTTTATTTTATAATATTCAAAAATTTCAAAATAGCAATACCAATATTATTACTTATAATTACTGAATTAAGTTTAAGATATTTTGCAGTTGTTTTTGTCCTTAGACTTATCTCACCAAAGATGTCCACTAAAAGTACTAAATTCTAAAGCCCCTTGAAATTATATATATATAATTACATATATAGTTATACTATATAATATATATACTTTGATGTACAGATTTATTTATTTCTATTTGCTTTCAGTTCTAAGAATTGCTTTTAAACAAGATATATGCATAATTTTGGATATGTAAAACATATAGTTTAAAAGTTTTATATATTTTCAAACTTTGGGATTTTTCTAATCTGATAAATGAGAGATAGCTTTGCAGTGAAATTTTAAATTTCTTTGACTGTGAGTGAGTGGGCATCTTTTTCATTGGTTTAAAGGTCATTTGCCTTTCTTTTTCTGTAAACTATCTGTTCATGTCCTTTGTGATTTTTGGTATTTCTCTTTTCTATTTTAAAAAGCTCTTTACATGGAAGAGAATAGTCAATTGTCTGTGATGTAAATTACAAATATTTTCTTCAGTTTTTCTTTTGTCTTTTGATTTTGCTAGTTGTGCTTCTTTTGTTAAGCAAAAGAGTTTTCTGTTCATATAGTTGAATATATGAATCTTTTCCTTTATGCTACTAGATATTGATTCATGGTTAGAAAGGAATTCACTCATTTTTCCCTTAGCACTTGTATAGTTTCATTTCTCACTGTTACTTCTCTAATGCATTTAGAATTTATTCTGTTATGTGATCTGAGGTATGGATTCAACGTTATCTTTTGCCAAATGATTATCCAGTTATCTGATCCTGGATCAGTTTGGTAGAGATGCCGAAACAAAGTACCACAAACTGGGTGGTTTAAAACAACAAAAATTTATTTTCTCATAGTTCTGGAAACTAGGAAGTCCAAAATCAAGGTGTCAGCAGAGCCATGTCCCCTCCAAAGCCTCCATGGGAAGATAGATACTTCCTTGCCTCTTCCAAGCATTCTCTGGCTTGTAGATTATCACTCCAGTCTCTGCCTCTGTCTTTGCATGCCTTTCTCCTGGTGTGTCTCTGCATCATCCTCCCTTTGTGCATATCTGTTTCTGTGTCCAAATTTCCCTTTCTTAGGTTGTTAGTCATATTGGATTAGGGGCTCAGCCTACTCCAGTATAGCTTCAGCCTAACTTAACTAATTACATCTGCAATGATGCTATTTCCAAATAATTCTGACTTATTGAGGATTAGGACTTCAACATATCTTTTGGGGGAACACAATTCAACCTGTAATAAGTAGTAGTTATTAAAATAACTATCCTTTTCCCTCTGTGATTCAAGATGTCTTCTGTATTGCATATTAAATTTCCATATATACTTGAGTCTATTTCTGGAGTTTTATTTTATTCCACTGATTTATCTATTCACCTACTAATACCAGAATATTTTTCTTAAATGTTTATTTGAAAGAGAGAGAGAGAGTGGGAGGAGGAGCTGAGGGTGAGGGAGAGAATCTCAAGCAGACTCCCCACTAAGCGTGAAGCTCAACAATTCGGGGTTCAATCCCTCTACCCTGAGATCATGACCTGAGCTGAAATCAAGAGTTGGATGCCTGACTGAGCCATCCATTGTTACAGAATATTTTAGTTTTAGTAGCTTTATGTTATCTTTTAATATCTGGTAGAGCTAACTACCCTCAATGCTCCTTTTCCCCTAGGACTTTCCTTGTTTATTTATTTTAAAATTAACTGTTTAAATACAAAACATAATTCTTGCATATTACTCTGCCTGCATCTTGAGAACAGTATAGCAACGTGTGGTAAAGTATCCAATCCAACATTCACTGCACAAGGAGAGACACAGAAGGAAAGTATGGATCAGGGAACATCAATACTTTTCATAAAAGAATTGAATAGACTGTGTTTAAGTGACTTTCTTTGTTTAAGGGAAGGAATGACTACTGTATTTAATATCCTTGCTACTACATTAATTTATATTGTACATTATACTCCCATGGTGAGAGTATTCTTAATGTCCTATTATTTTTAATAAAAGCAATTATTTTTGTTGTGCTTGTTCATAGGAGTTATTGTCTGTTGGAATGTACACATAAGAATTACTTCATGGTGGGGCACCTGGATGGGTCAGTCGGTTAAGCATCTGCCTTCAGCTCAGATCATGATCCCAGGTTTCTGGGATCAAGTCCCACATCGGGCTCCCTGCTCAGTGGGGAGCCTGCTTCTCCCTCTCCCTCTGCCCCTCCCCCCTGCTTGTGCGCTCAGTCTCTCTCTCTCTCCCTCTCTCTCAAATAAATAAATAAATAAAATCTTAAAAAAAAAAAAAGAATTACTTCATGGTGTAGGAATCTCTAGGTTTTAGATAACCATTTGTATCATTGTATTAAAGAATAATCTTCTATTAGTAA